GCGGCAAACTTTACTTTTGCCTAGGGCGGCAAAAATCCTTGCACCGGCCCTGGCTGGAGGGGGCTGTGTGAGCTGTGGCCGCACCCATGGTAGTTAGGAAATGTGTATGTGTGACTGTCTGCCTGTAACTGAGTGTGTGACTGTCTGCCTGTAACGGAGTGTGTGACTGTCTGCCTGTAACGGAGTGTGTGACTGTCTGCCTGTAACGGAGTGTGTGACTGTCTGCCTGTAACGGAGTGTGTGACTGTCTGCCTGTAACGGAGTGTGTGACTGTCTGCCTGTAACGGAGTGTGTGACTGTCTGCCTGTAACGGAGTGTGTGACTGTCTGCCTGTAACGGAGTGTGTGACTGTCTGCCTGTAACGGAGTGTGTGACTGTCTGCCTGTAACGGAGTGTGTGACTGTCTGCCTGTAGCAGGTGTGTGACTGTCTGCCTGTAGCGGAGTGTGTGACTGTCTACCTGTAGCAGTGTGTGACTGTATCTACCTGTAGCAGTGTGTGTGACTGTCTGCCTGCTGCTTGAGGAGTGTGTGACTGTCTGCCTGTAGCAGTGTGTGACTGTCTACACATAGCAGGTGTGTGACTGTCTGCCTATGCTTGAGTGTGTGACTGTCTGCCTATGTGGTGTGTGACTGTCTGCCTGTAGCAGTGTGTGACTGTCTACCTGTAGTGTGTGACGCTGTCTACCTGTAGCAGGTGTGAGCTATCTGCCTATAGCAGTGTGTGACTGTCTGCCTATAGCAGTGTGTGACTGTCTGCCTGTAGCAGTGTGTGACTATCTACCTGTATGAGTGTGTGACTGTCTGCCTGTAGCAGTGTGTGACTGTATCTGCCTATGGAGTGTGTGACTGTCTGTGAGTGTGTGACTGTCTGCCTGTAACAGTGTGTGACTGTCTGTCTGTAACTGAGTGTGTGACTGTCTGCCTGTAAATGTGTGTGTGGGGCTGCAGGGATTTTGTAGAAGGGGGCGGGGTTTTGTATTGGGACAGGAGTCTTTATAAGGGGGGATAAGCAGGGGATTTGTGGAAGGGGGTTGCGGGGGTTTTGTAGACGAGGCAGTACAGGATTTGTAGAAAGGACAGGACAGAGGTTTTGTAGGAGGGGCAGGACAGGACAAGGGTTTTGTAGGAGGGGCTGACAGCGGTTTTGCAAAGTTTACAAAAAAAAAAAAAAAGAGAACCTTTAAAATTTTTTTTTTTGGGGTGCCAAGCACAGGATCCGCCCCAGGTGCCAAATGCTCTAGGTATGCCCCTGTTAAGTAGCATAGACTTCTGGTAGTCGTCTCTACAAACCACGGTGAAGAGTTGGGGGAATGCATACAGGCATGTTTATCTGATAAGTTTACTTTAAACCACCCGTAGGGTTTGATACTTACACATTGTTATCCCAGGAGGAACACAGAACAGTTTTATCTCCAGGCAAAATAATACAGGATGACAACGCCTAGTGATAAAAAGGGAGTATGATTACAACACTATAAACGTAAACGCATACAAATTTCCACTTTACGAAGTGTGTAGTAAATAGTCAAAATCACAGTAATCTGGAGAAAGAAAGCACTGACATGTGTCATTTGAGAATTTACTTTAGCGGAAATAAGATTTAAGCTGGGGAACAGCAACTGGGAACTTTAAATTTGTCATAATGTTTACAAAAGTCATACAAAAAAATAAGCATGTCCTACAGTAGAGAAACCATATTCAGGCATATGTGTCTGATTTCCATGGTCCTACCCAAATTAAATCACTGTTTACATAAATTTTTAAGTTCCCTTCTCGTGTGTTTTTAAACAAAGTGATTCGACGTCTAATTTATAGAGAATTCTCTGTATAAAAGAGTTCCAGTTTGTCTGTTAAAGGGTGACAGCACCCTGGGAATTGGTGTCTGCTCAACAAATAGAGCCTATGGGAAAGGCTCTTCATTAAAAGGGACACTCCAGGCACCCAGACCACTTCAGCTAACTGAAGTGGTCTGGGTGCTGTGCCCCTATTGCTTACATTGCAGCTCTAAGTCTGCCCTCAATGGCTGTCAACCCCTTCAGCGACATGGGATGGGGGCACTGCAGGTCTCTGAAAGGAGGGAGTTCCCAGGTGTTAAAATACTAAATCTCATTTCTAAATACAGATTGTCTGCACTACAATGTATTCAATTTCTATTTTTGAGGTTCTCTGCGAATTAGAATAACACCTGAAAATATTAACTTTTCAGTATACCATTGCCAAACACATTTGCTAATTAAGCATATACTGTACAAAACATTTTCTGTGTGATCAGTTCACTCATTGGAATGGTTGATTTTTAAACTGTTGTGTTCTGGTAGGCACTTTGGTTTCTAAACACTTATAAAGCACTTTATTGAACTAATTTTACAAGTCACTTATTTGCCAGGTATTATTATACACTTGTGTTATTGAAGCGCTCCACTCCACTTTTTTTTACTTTACTTCAATAATACTTACCATGTTGGAGAATGAAATACTTCTCTGAAGAGCCATTTGACTTGTAGAAAACATTTTCAAAGTGGAGTCTGCAATATATTGTTATAGAAATAATATCAATCTATGCCAAACAAAAACACACAAACTGTCCAAAATTTCCACGTGCAAGTAATGTGGACAAGGTAGGATGACAATCAGACTATTTCCCAATGAAAATCAATAAATTTAAAAAAACAAAAACAAAACTTAAATATAATGGAGTATCAGACTAACCTTGAGATGTTGTAAACACTGAAGCTCCATTTGAAGACACACTAATGCTAGTAATTGTCCTGTTTAAATATAAATAAAAACATACATTTAGATAACAGCACAGTGTTACATGGTACCGGTCATGTCTCCTATGTAATGCTCTTTTGAAAAAGCATAAAAATATCTAAACATTACTAGTAAACGTATAGATTTTGAAAAACAAAAAACAAAACAATTATAAAAACAAAAAACAAACACCCCTACACTCATGCCAAAGAATTGACTGGATAATTGAAGGGAGAGCAGAAAGGATCTCCCATCGGCAGTCCTTCCAGCTTCCACACATAGCAACCACAGCATATGTGCAGTGGTTGGTATGATAACTTCCTACTTGAAGCTGCCATTGCAGTGCCAGCTAGGGAGTATAGGAAGGGAGTGGCTGACGTCACTCTAAGACTTTGTTATGCTGGCCACGGTGTCTGTTTCATGGGACAGGTTTGCTCTGCTCGGGAAAGCATCTCTAAGCATGGCAAATTACAGAAGTGTCTTGGAGGAGTGAAAGGCAGGCCGGAGATGGATGTTACTAGAAATGTAACAGTAACACCCATGAAGCGGAAGGCAAGACGGTGAAGAAACTGAGGTGTGTATATCGGATATTTTACATTGAATATCAGACATGTATCTCAGGGACATATCATGTATTCAATGTATCTATGGATGATTTAAGGAAAGTAAACATTTACATCACAAGTTGAGCGGAATATTAAATTCTTTGGAAATTACACCCTTCTATAAAACCTTGAAAATCACCTACTAGTTTATGCCAACACTTTTCATATGATGCTCTATTTTCTTTAAAAATGTATAATGAAGGTTTAGTAAGCAATGTCACACTACAGTTCAGTCCAGGCATCGCCAGGAGACAATACAAGTGAGGAGAATAACAAATGCATTGCTTCTCTTACTTTTCCAAGGACTATGTTCAGTGCCAAAAAAAGTAAATAAATATGAATATCACTGACAGAGCCAAGACTGAGTTCTAGGGTATACATGTGGATTTCAACATTTAACACCTTAAGGACCAAACTTCTGGAATAAAAGGGAATGACATGTCACACGTCATGTGTCCTTAAGGGGTTAAGTATTGTATACCACAAAAACATTTACTAAATAGCTTAACAAAGTGGGGGGAAAAAATCCAGGGGAACTGACCGTACCATATGTAGCGGAGTAGTAGGGGTTAATCCACAGTATCTCCGCTGGTAGTCAGGATAAACCGGTAGAACACCGGTAGCGTAGTAACAATCCCCTTCTCCCAAGAACTAGACGACACATAGCTTGGAGGTCAACTGAGGTTTTAATCACTGGTCACAGCATTTATACAATTCCCCATACACGGGGTTTCCAAAGTGCCCTTGCAAGGGTTTTACAACCGTGGACTACATGGGAATCTTAAATTACAAGACAATTTCCCAGCATGCATTGTTACACTAGAGAAATGAATGATAAGAATATACTGATAATCACTCGATCTCTCCATACAGCCCAAGTTACAATTTCCCATTAAATTCTATAACTTAAAAAGTATTAGGGTAAATTAACCGATTGACCTTTCGTTGAATAGCTGGGATCTGAGCGCACCATCTGGGGAAATACCGCTCAGATCCCTGCACATTCAGATGAACGCCATTCGAATAACCTGATTTCATGAACCACCACTGCAATCGTTAAATACAGTTAGAGTATTAATATGCCGAAATAATTATTGTCCCGAATGGTCTGGAAGTCCAGCGGTGTTCGGTAAGTCGAGTAGCCGATTTTAGTTCCAGACACTCGACGACTAAACACTGCAGTGCTTTCGTGAACAAAAGATGGACGCCGCCATGTGTTCGGTATACGAACGGCGGCCCCACACAAAACCCATTCGGTAGCTGCAAGCACACGAAGCCCCCCTTCTAAAAAATGACCCCATGGTAGGGCATCTATTAACTAGCAGGGGGTGTCCCCAGAGTCCCCACTTGTAGGCGGCAAGTGGGTGGGATTACTTATGAGCGGCAGGTGGTGGCCCTGAAAGCAACCAGAGGGTTATGAGTCAAATTACACAGCATGGGAAAATTTCAAAAGAACTTTTCCATGCTGTGTAAAATTACACCGAGCACTCTCATTGGTTGGATTGCACGCCAACCAGAGTGCTGTGACTGACTTACCGGTCAGTTTCTTCACTTACCTGTCAGAGCACTCTGATTGGTTGGCTTAAACCAAAGCGCTCTGAGCCTAACTGCAGAGAGTGGGAAGGCTTTATAAGCCTTTCCCCGCCCTGCGGAGCTCAGGTTTTAGAAAAAAATAAGTATTTTATTTAGCCACAGGGTACTCACTGTTTACTAGACATGCCCCTACTCGCAATATAGCGAGTAGGGGCAGATTACTAATACTAAGTAATTTTTTTTTTAAAGTTGGCTGAAAAAAACAATATTGGTCTTTCAGCCTTTTGGTAGATCACTCCCTAATACTGTGGGAATTAGGAAGCCATCAACTAAGCAGTTGCAGGATGCAGCCACGATCGGATTGGAATTTTATTCATTTGAATGAAATTTCGAACCGAACAAAAGTCCAGAATTTCGTCCTAACACGAATGGCGTTCGGGAATACGGAAAGAAGACATCGCGAGAACACGGAGGAAAGGTGAGGCATCGCGAGAACACTTTGTCTTATGTTTTAAATAAAACTAGAGCAGACAGGAAGAAATAAAGAACAGATCCTGAGAGAGGAAGAGAACAGGAAGTGATTGGGGAAAGGTAAGTTCGGCATGACAGTGCCACTTTAAGATCCAGCCATATTGGCTAGATACAGCTTTTTTTATCCTAAAGGGATCCTCTAGTGCCAGGAAAACAAACCCGTTTTCCTGGCACTATAGGCTCCTGTAGTGCCCCCTGCCTCACACCCCCCTTCAGCCACTCACCTGAAACCAGCGCCAATGTCCCTCGGCGCTGGGTCAGGCACCGCCTATGCTCCTCCCCAGCCGACGGGGGAGACCTAATGTGCATGCGCGGTAATGGCAGCGTACACTATAGACCTCCCCATAAGAAAGCATTATTCAATGCTTTCCTATGTGAAAAAACTGACACCAGGTTAGTGAGGACGTCCAGCGTCAGATAATGGACCAAAAGTCCATTTAGATTTAGGAAGCCCTCTAGTGGATGTCTGTTTTACATTGCAGCATTAAGTGCAAAAGGGTCACAGCACCCAGACCAGTTCAATTAGCTGAAGTGGTCTAGGTACCTACAGTGTTCCTTTTTAACTTGGTTAGATATTGGCTTGGGTAAAATTAGATCTGTGTTCATGCAACATTATAGGACTAACCATGCTAGTTCAAGGAACATTAATACAAATACATACTCTTTGTGCAACTTTTGCCCGTTTTCTTTCTGAAACTTTGTGATGTTGTTCCATGCGAGGGATTTGCTTTCTTCTGTGAGATCCTCAAAGCACTCTTCATTAATAGAAGCTACAAGGAAAAGCAGTATAGCACTTCAATAAAATACATGCGCACACACATTAAGGCTATCAAGAAATTATGGTGCAACATTACATCGCAGATAAGGCTTTAACTGGACTGACACTGTCTTACAAGGAACTTTGGCACTGTAGTGGTTATGGTGCCAGGAGTAAAACTATTTTGACTTCTTCGCTGATGTCTGCCTGGTGCTGTTCCACACCTCCACTCCACATCCTCATTTGGAAAAGATGGCCATTTTGACAGTTAATAGTTTCATAGATCATTCAGTTATTTTAGACCGGTTTGCTTACAAAAAGACATGTCCAAACATGGCAGCAAAGAATAATTGTTTGCAATATGGGTTAAGAGCTGGATAAAAATCCCAGTATAGATCATTCGGAGTCAGCAATGTATGTTTACCTGGTGATTCAACTAAAGAGATATTCTGACTGGATGAACGGGAAACACTTCTTGACTTGGCAAAAATTCTCTTTGGATGAGGTTTACTAAACAGCTGCTTTGGCGTTTGACCAAACTCCAAAATTTGTGTTAACAAAGCGATTTTATGATCAGGATCCTCAATTCTTAAAACAAAATACATTGATAAAGGTTACTTTAAATAATGCATTGCAATTTAAAATTCACACAACACAAAAGAAGGGTTACAGGTTAGGTATAAGAAGTACAGTTTAAAAAGATAATTTTTTATTTTTTATTTTTTTTTACAGATATGTAAAACTGGAAGTTAAGGTTTTTGTTTTTAAGGTAAATGCCCAACTGCAGAAGGTTGCATATTAATGCTGTAAATTTGACTGTCGTAGGGTGTTTTTTTGTCTTGTTGTTTTTGTATTTATGGTGTTCAGTGTAGGGCAAGCGCCCCGGATGTGTCTTTTGTATGGAAAAACAAATAAATAAGTTTAAATAAAAAATAAAAAAGTTAAGATTGCATACCTGTTAAAGTCAACTTCACCTTCATACGTTACTGGATGAAAAACTAAGAAGAAAAGACAAACAAGGATTATCACCAACATATGAAAAACAAAGCAAGACAAAAGAAAATGCTCATGTCTGTATATATAGAATAAATGAATTAAAATTGGTCATCCTCTTAATGTAATTCAAAAAAACCTATACATGAACAATATTGTACTGCTCTACCCATCATTTCAGATTGGATGAGTAAACAAACCTGCTTCGGGTTGAAGTGGATGTCCTGAGAGAATCAGTCTACAATTTTGCTTAATATAGGTTTGCATATAACACAAATGTTGAGTAGAAGCCACTTTGTAGTGTCCCCCTACCCCCCAAAAAAAAAAAACCCCAAAAAACAGACCAAAAAAAATATATAAATAAATAATATAAATAAAAAATGAATCATGTACATACAGGTAAAACATTGTGGTGACAGACAAATGTTGTATTTCTAATTAGTAATCAGAGAAAACACCAATGCAGAGAAACAACGATCTGTAGCAGGCTGTTTATCTGCAAGCTACAACCTTGTCTGGGCTGACATGGCCAAATAAACGCCATCTGTGAAAATTATTTCCATACACTGAGAATATCAATCTTTAGAGGAAGGCTGCACTTGTCAATTGAGAATATATGAGATGTGTGAGAACATGGCTAATTAGAACCTATTGTACTTAGAACGTTTCACGTGCAACTGTCAAAAATTACCTACGAAGCCCTCAGTGAATACTTTTCTAACAACCTACTTCGTACCACTACTTTTACCCTTTGTGTCACTACACCCCACTCCCTCTAGAATGTAAGCTCATTGAGCAGGGCCCTCCATCCCCTCTGTTCCTGTACGTCCAATTGTTTGGTTACAATTACATGTCTGTTAGTCCACCCATTGTACAGCACTACGGAATCTGATGGCGCTATATAAAAAATAGAAATAATACCAATAAGCATAAATTTTGCTCTTTGTTTAATACAGATCTTTCTGTATTGTAAAGATGAGAATGCACCAAAATGTATGGTTGTTTACTACACAATCAGAATCAATCTCTAGTAAGAAAAAAATTAAAATCTAAACAACCCAACACAATTTATAGAGTATAAAGCCCACATGAAAGAATGCCATGTCAAAGCAACCAGGATTAGGAGGGACACTCAGGAAGGCATATAGTACGGATATCACTACCCGTTTCTAGTTTCTCTGACTGTCTGCAGCCGGGCTGTGAATTAAAATAGTCTCACGCAGTGCTGTTGGAAGCAGAGACTGTTTGCGCACACACATAAGGATGTCTTTCTGGCATGAGGGGGTGTGGCTAAGGAGGAAGGTGTTTGGTGCAGCATTCTGCAAAAAACATTTTTGTGCAATAACTATAAAAAGATTTCAGCATGCAAAATACTTTTTTCCTTAGTATCAGCGGCAGTACCTGAGGGCTCTTTAAATTAATGGACCATGTAGCTTCAAAAAAAAAAAAAAAAAAATTAGGAGTGCATAGAGCACTGAAATTCCTCCGCGAGCTGCAGTAAACATCCATCTCACAGGCAGTATGGTCACAACTGGCTGACCCCCAGAAACAGCCCGTGCCTGCCCCCCTACAGCTTCAAGACCAAGGAGGCAGCAGGGATTGCAAGCGTTTTCAATTTTATTTAGGAGGCTATTCATCCCATTAACTTGAATATCCCTCAACTACTGCAGCTGTACGCAAAAATTTTTTTTACATCAATCCATGTATCTGCTCATTTGTCTTCTACTTATATATGGACAACAACATCGGTCTTACCATTATGAGAATCCACAGCATCGCTACCCCTCTGTTTATAACCAAATATCAAGTCAATCCATTCATGGAGGTGGTCAGAAACATACGAGCTTTCTAATGCATCTCTGTTTTTCCTTAAAAAATCTTCAGGATCTAAGTGAAAAAAAAAAAAAAAAAAAGGGTTGGCAACATTAGAAGAAAATAGGAGATAAACAATTGGATTATACCTACACTAAGGACACTTGCCACCAAGCTCCAGAACCACTATAGCTTAGTAAAAGTAGTTATGGAGCAAAGATGCTAGGAACAGCAGTTCTAGGCGAAGACAGCTTGGCAAACCATATAGATTGGTGCACTCTGACATTAATATTTTCGACTGTTAAATCTCTTACCGTATGCCCATGGCGGAAGCTCCACATCATTCACCAGTTTCCCTCCTTGACGTTTTCCTAACTCAAGGTTCAAACTGTTAAGCAAGAAGCTCCAATCATTCCCATAAAACTCTGGAATTAACTAGAACATTGAGATTTCAGGTAAATGCACACACTACATACATATAGAGACAGGTAGACAGGCAGACATCTGTGTACATCCATAAAAATGCATTACCTCCTTAAAATCCGTAACTCCTTCCAGGCAGTTTTTCCATGTTTCTGCAATACTAAATGTGGAAAAGAAGTATAAAAAATATAAACAGCAGTTTTCTTTAATTAACTGAAGCAGATTAACTTTATATATGGTCAAGTTTTTTGTTTTTGTTTATACCAACCTGTTAAACATCCTATCAGCATGATCAAACTTCCCATTCTGTATGCAAAGCATGTGTTCTGGAGCTGAAAGAAGAAATGTATGGGGTGGAAGTTTAGAAACCATTCACACTTAATATTGCTTAAACCATTGGTTCCCAATAAATTTTTTCACATGGATCCCTTTGTCATAATGCGCCAATAACGTGGAACCCTTAAATTTTGGCACCGTAGCGCAGATAGTAGGAGCAGGTGTTTGTGTATAATGTTAGCGTTTTGATACAGGGGTGTGCTTGCATGTAATGTTTGCATTTGCGTGCAGGGGTGTGCTTGTATGTAATGCTAGCTTTTAAATGCGGATGTACATTGTGTGTAGTATTCGGGTTTGTATATAAATTTTAAATTCAGGGGTTTTTGTATTTAATGTTTGTGTTTGCAGGAGTGTGTTTGCATGTTGTGTTGGTGTTTGCTGGGATGTATGCACATAGGATTGCTGTACATATGCCACGTACGTACATACATACACAAACTAACACACAGACACATACACACACACACGCACACACCTTGACATACACACACTCACTGACAAACACATACAAACAAATAACAAGAACAGTGCATAGCGCATAACTGTGTATATGAATAAACCAAATGTGTAGTTTTCAAATTTCACATTTGGTTTATTCATATACACAGTTATGCGCTATGCACTGTTCTTGTTATTTGTTTAGCAGATCGTCCCCTTTTTTTCTATACATGTTCTGTTGAAGACAGGAGGAAGTCTTCGGGGAAATCCTACCTGATTCAGGGAGGTCTTTTTCTGCTATTTATTTGTTGAGCACTTATTGCACTGTGGTTTGTGCACACATATCGCTTTTTTGTATCTAAACACATACAAACTCCTTAACAGACACACACTATTTATGGTTTTAAATTTCACTCCACGCAGCCTCCCTACCTTTGGGAGTGCTGGCATGGAGTCTATTTCCCTGGAGTCCAATGGGGCTGCTGGACTAAGTGGCTGCCATGTAGTCCCTGTTGTCCAGTGTTGCTGCTGGACTGAGTGGCTGCCATGCAGACCCTGCGGTCCAGTGGGGCTGCCGGGCTATGCAGCGAGGGAGCAGTGATCTTCCTGCTCAGCTCCCTTGCGTGCCTTTTGTGATGCCGGGGCGACATATTCCGGCTCCGGCATCACTGTGGTGCGCGCAAGTGAACTGAGCAGGGGAGAGTTCTCCCTTGCTGCCTGCCTCAAATACACTATAAAAACCACACTCCATCCCCCATGTAGGAGTCCCAAAACACAGTGGGACATTAGAGGGTTCATTTAAACCGGTATATAAAAGTTGAAACTATCTTATTTACCAAAAAATAAAATAATGTCCAGAAGAATTAAAAGTTAATCTTAATCAGTTAATCTTACCAACTCTGACCAAATAGAACAGGACATAGCCTGGTGAAGAGTAGTGACTTCCATACATAAATTTTGGCTCTGGCATTTCATGGTAACGCATCTGTAATATAAAACATGTAGTTCTGACTAACAAAAGAATAAAAATAAAATTAAAAAAAAATAAAACTTTTTCCCTTCCAAACCAATCCAGGTCATGACATGTGCAAGTGCTGTGCACATCCTTCCTTCCTGACTCATGTCCTACAAATCACTGCTGGACAGAGGTTTATGAAAGGAGGAGACAAATCTTGACCAGAATGACAGGATTTTGACTGGTGAAGGCCATTTGCCTGGCCTAAGAAGGATAGATCTGCTCATGACAATTGCTTGTGCAAGAGCAGCAGCTTTATGGAAAGGCATATTTTTATTTTATTGCAAGGTGTGAATGCATTATCTATAATATGATGCACAATAGAAAAATGGGGGAGGGCGTCTATACAACTCTTAGACTGTCCCTTCAAACATTCACATAATTTGTTGTTTCTAGCTTATGAATAATAATCTATACATACCATTAATCGCTCCAGCCTCTCTTTGTTCAGTGCTCCAATTGGTTTACCAAGATCTCGGAATGTATCAGCAGTATTTAGATCTTAAATATAAGAGAAAAGGGAGAGTGAAAAAAAAAAAAACACACACAAAAAATAAAATAAATAAATAATAATCAGGTGAAGAAAAAAAACAAACTAAAACCCTCTAAACTAAAATGAGGGCACTGAAAAGTTCTAATGAACTCTGAAAATGTACATTGTACAATTCATTTATATTTTTTTATTTTGGACAAGTCTGCGATTTAACCAGTCTTCATGATGCAGCTGTTTTAGGGCACACACTGCCATTGTGGCACTCTCCAAGTTTAGAATGGTTTGACGTATTACCTGGGTTCATCTTCCTCTTCTGTTCTATGCAGCCAGAAGAAGCGGCTAGTAGAGCCCTAAATGATAATGGGCGGGTGGACTATTGTCCTCCCTCCAGCACCACCCATTACCTTAAGAGAGCTAAGCCCTGCAGTGAAGAGTCAGCCTATTGGCAGAATCTCAGCTAATTGCTCTCAGACTCAACCATGCTTAAACTAGGCAGAAAGCTTAAAGCTCTCTAATATGCAAGGAGCGGTGCCAAGCAGGCCTCATGTATGGGCCTAACTGTTCTAAAATGATTTGACTATTCACGGGGCGTGGGATGGGAAGTTTGGGAGAAGGGGGATAGGGTCATCCTGCCACCATAACCTTAGATTTTCTTTAATGTAGAGTGCATGCTTTGAGGCAAAAGACAATGAAGCAGCATTTAATCATACAGCATGTGTGTGATCAATCAAAATAAGGAGAGATGGCACAAGACTACAGTGTTTTGGACCAGTCAATTCCTACTTATATAACATTTGTAGATCAATGGTTCATCCCTAGCCTAGATTATTACAGAATGCTACAGATACAACTAATAAATTGCACCAGATATTTGAAAATTGTATAAACTTGCAAAATTATGCATCATCTGGAAAACTTTTCAGTTTGTAAACATATGAAAATATCAAAACCAAAAACCAGTTCTATACAATTGTTTCCACTTGCCAAGTTCAGAACTAGTGTAGTCTGATAGGACCCATGGAAATACAGGGTACTGAGAAAGATCATTGCAGCTTCGATCTGCCAGGTTATTGAGGTGCAGGAGATATTGGTAATTTGAAATGTGTCCCATCTGCCACTGTAGCATATAACAGTCTGCTGTTTGCTCAGCCAAATGATTCTCTGTGGGGGGAGAGAAATAATCAAATATCTATACATTTCAATGTAATCGCTTTCCATGACATTTGTACTAAAGAATTACTACAAGCAATTACATTGAGGCCACACGGTGTCATACACTGTCAAACCAAAAAATGTCTCATTAGAATAAAACTAGGAAATAGTGCGCTCTCATAATCCCAATCCCCATGGGATTAATACCTCAATAGTACACAGAAACAGAGAGGACCACACTCTAGAAAATATAAATATGTATTACAGTCATGCTAAAATATATCATATATACATACACAATAGATCAGGGATACACAGAGATGAATACAATTCGTGAAAAGACTGGAATACAAGTAATTCAAGCCAAAGCCTAACCCTCCCCTATGTAAAGTCAAAAAACCTAAAAGAAATTATGTCACAGAGCCGCAGTTCCCCTTAAACTAATCACTTAGGAGTGCTTATTTTGTTTTTCCATCTTAATTTTGGCTAGAAGATATTCTCATATATGGTCATGTGACCGCCAATGTAGAGGTCTACTAATTAATAGAAATAGTGGATTACAGCAGGACAACGGTTGGCTACCTATTCAAAGGGTAGATAATGTGGTGTTGGTTCATTTACTTTCTGTTCTCCCTTGAGAGACTTAAAGGAACACTATAGAGCCCCCCTTTGCCTCCCTAAATATAGTAAAATCTTACTTGTATTCAAGTCTGAAGCTGCTGGCACTGCCCCGGTCTGCTGACATCATCAGAAATTGTGGTATGAGCCAATCAGAATTCTTATCACAGGAGTGGCTGAGACGGTCAAGGAGGAGATCAAGTGCAGAGCCAGCCAAACACAGCCCTGGCCAATCATTATTTCCTCAGAGATGAATTGAATCAGTGCATCTCTATGAGGAAAGTTCAGTGTCTGCATGCAGAGGGTGGTACACAGAATGGCAGTGCTGCTCATTCTGCAGCACTGCCCAAGGAATCAGTTCTAGTCGCCATCTGAGGAGTGGTCAGTGGAGTTATCACTAGGCTGTAATGTAAACACCATTTTCTCTGAAAAGACAGGGTTTACAGCAAACAGCCTGAAGGGAATGATTCTACTTACCTGAACAAATGCAATAAGCTGTAGTTGTTCTGGTGACTATAGGGTCCCTTTAAATCTGAAATGTGTTTGGTGTCCACCCTCTCACTGGTTTAGCCACGGTATGTTGGATGTAACTCGTTCTGTTTCATATCTTTTTTTTTTTTTTTTAATGTTATTTGACATTACATAGGGGTGGGTTAGGCTTTAGCTTAAATGACTTGTATTCCAGTGTTTTCACCAATTGTACTGTATTTGTTTCTGTAGATCCCTTATTTCTATTATGCATGTATAGATTATGAAAGAAAAAAAAAAAAAAAGAGAGAGAGAGAGAGAGAGAGAGAGATAGAGAGATTTTTTCATCTTTTATAGAGTGTGCTTTTTTTTTTTCTATCTACTAATGATTTACTCGACAGCACAGGAAAAATGCCACAACTCCTGGATTTAAATGGTTTGCAAGAAAGTTTACCAACAGAGCATTGTCAATTGAACAATTCTATACATTTTCTTGAAAAATATTTTATAAAACACAGCTCTGTAGATGAAGTAACAGTTTTATAGAAAACAAACATTAGGTGTAGATCGGTACACATTAAGGTTCAAGGACATTATGCAATTAAGATTATAAAGATTCTCAAACCTAGATAAGCTGCAATGTAGTAGTAGAGTCCATCACGATCTTTCGGATTGTAAAATTTAAGGTAAATATCTGAGCACAAGTCGTTTTCTGTGCAAAACACCTCCAGTCCCTAAAAATAATGACATTTTTAAATAAAAGCATACGTTTGAACCCTGAAAATCATGGAAGTGCAATTGAGCAAGGGAGTACCATCGCAGCACTACAACACAAATGTAAAAATAGGAACAGATAGGCATTCTATACATAAAAAAAATAAAAGAATTGTTAAATATCCTGCTTTGTAGAAACAAATCTTCATAATAAAAAGAGAAGCAAAAATGTATATGGGCAAAATACCTATATAAAAAGTAGCATGGAAAAGAAAAATACAAACCTGCAAATAATTAATGTTCTGTAAGATGAACAAGCATGCCCAGATTACTATAATACATGACGAAGAAGATGGGGGATGGGGGAGTTTCTAATACAAACTTGCTAACACGGTGCAAGAGGGAAGAGAGGCCTGCCATGTAGGGTGAAAGAATTACCCATTTATATCTTGGCTGTGGTAATCTTCAATTGTTGAAAAAAAAAAAAAGGAATAGGACTTAAAGGGCTAAAGTTAATTTTGCATTAAAAGTAGAAATTAGCACATGGAATTGTGGTAGTGAATGGTTTAATATTCTTAATAGTCCTCCTTGAAACCATTTAAGAACTAGCTTAGACAATCAGTATCTGATCATCTCACTAAACACCATCCAATCATTAATGCAGGAGCCAACAAACCAATTCTGCACAACTATCACACAACTACTCCCACTATCCTAAGGTCCACGACAGCTAGTGGTTTTGAACAACTATGGAGCAGCAGTTTAGACATTGCTAATCTAAATTAACCTTAAAAAGTATAATTTGCTTTCCAAAATGAGGAAGTGCTTATAAGGCCAATTTTTATTTATTTTAGATTTCTGGTTTATTTTAATTTGTAACGCATCTACATTTATGCCACAAATCAAAAGCACATGTATTAAAGAAGAAAAGCAATCCACACAGTCTACAAACTAAAGGTCTCTTAAATGAAAATGACATGCAGCGTTTATACTTTGAATGCTTGTAATCGACCATATTGTGAATACAATAAATACAAAAAAAATTCCTGTGGCAGAACTACAATTCCTTAATGCTGGTAAGGCATCATGGGTAAATTTTATAACAGCTGGGGTTCTAATGAAGGACAAAGTTCAAGCAATGGGAAGACAAATTCAGAATTGTAGGGTCTCTGTAAAAAACTGAGATTCCAGTCTGAGAAATATTTGGAAAAACAAGGTGTTGCTATAAAATAATACTCTTTCAGAATCACACACAATTTTAAATACTATAAGACATTAAAATAAGGCCTTACCACAGGCATCAACATATGTCTTCTCTTATATATTCGACGGATATCTGGAAGACTAATGTAAACCACAGGTTTCTACAAAATACAGAATTAGAGATTATTCTAGCGTCAGTGACCTAATAATCTAAATTTTATTAAAGACAGGAGGCGAATATTTGCTTTACTTCCTTTACTGTTCCTCCCAGCAGCAAAGAAACAGTTAACAGATTGAAAAAAAGAAACAACCAATCATAACACATCTAGTCATTAATAAGTGGCTGTGAAACTCCTCCCAATTCCTCTTTCTTCATGTAGCCAGAGTGATGTCAACCATGTAAACTGGAACGAATAATCTTAACGAAACTGGAAGTTGGGACAACATATCCTCAACGATGTCGCCATGCAGAGGGGTGAAGGCTCTTTCACACTAGAAAAAAAAAAGAGAAACTCGTGAAAGTATGGTGTGATTGGCAAGGTGTCTACATACAAATGCCTAGTTTGAAAATGTTTTAATGAAAAACTTCTGGAGTATTACACATATCCCTAGTCATATCTATGTGGATGAAAGAATGAGTTTAAGAACCAAAAACCAAAACTACAGCAGTATGAACACCCTACCTGTGTATCCCATTCTGGAAGAAAAAGGGAGGGGGACGTGCGAAAGAAAAAGAACAAAACGAAACCTGAGCGCACGTAGGGTGGGAAAATATTCGCCTCCTGTCTTTAATAAAATTTAGATTATTAGGTCACTGACGCTAGAATAATCTCTAATTTTATGGCAAGACAGGAGGCTTCATATTTGCTGTTTTAACGCCCAGAGAGTAAATGAAAACCCGGATGAGCTTGAGGCCGGAAATAAAACGTACGAAAGGTAGATTCCCTTGACCAATCTGCCGAGGTCAAAATATCCGAAAGGGAACTCCCAGAGGTAAAGGCGGAGGATGCGGCCGCGCCCCGTACTGAATGGGCGCCAAAGGGCGGCTCTACGCCCGCAAGGCGGAGGAGCCACCTGATCCACCGAGCAATAGTGGGACAAGACACCGGACGGTGAGGACGAACGTAGGACACAAAAAGAGGTCCCGACGGGGGCCGAAGCGGCGTTGTAAGAGTAATGTACCGTTGTAAACAAAGGGCAACACACAGAGAAGGTCTGTCTGGGAAGTATGGATAAAAGACGGAGGATGTTGGAATCTTAGTGCGACGGACAACAGAGAAGCGTACTCCCTCGGGAGTGAAAGTAATTGCATGAAGGTCGAAGGCTTTGATGTCGGAAACCCGACGTAGAGAAATCAAGCAAAGTAGCAGGGCTAACTTGGCAGAGAGTTGGCGTAAGGATAGCTCTGAGTTGGGAGGCCAGGTCTCCAGAAAGGATAAGACTTGTGCCACATCCCAAAAATGGGTGTAACGGGGTGCCGGAGGTCTGGAAAGACGGATACCCCGTAGGAGCCTGCACACGGAAGGGTGTTGTCCGACAGGGAGTGTATTGATCGGACTATGAGCAGCCGAGATGGCAGAGCGGAAAAGGTTTATAGTACGATAAGATTTGCCACCGTCAAAAAGAGAGGACAGAAAATTCATAATATTCACCAGAGTCGTTGAAAAGGGATCAATATCCCTTTCCAAACACCAGCGAGCCCAGGCTGACCACGCCGAAAGGTATGACTTTCGGGTGCCTGGGGCCCATGAATCCCAGAGGAGGTTGCGAGCTGAGCCTGAAAGGCCCGGGACGAACCAGGATCCCCTGAAACGGTCCAGGCCACCAGTTGGAGGTGTCCCTGGATGGCCAGGGGATGATATGCTCCGAATGGATCTCTGAGAAGGTCTGGGGTGAGGGGTAAAAGCAGAGGGTAGTCTGTGGACATCTCTAAGAGGTTGGGGTACCAGGGTTGGGCTCTCCAGAGGGGAGTTATTAACAGGATCCCGACTCCCAGAATCCTGAGACGGTGTAGAGTGCGAGGGATCAGGGAGAACGGTGGGAAGGCGTATGCTCCTGTCAAAGGCCAGGGTTGTAGAAAAGCGTCTACGGCTTGGGACAGCGGACCAAGGTTTTGTAAGAGACATTTGGTCATATTTGTATGTTTCCGAAGCGTATTGGGGTCTTGTGCCATGATCAATATATCGTCTAGGTAGACGATGGACCGGACCCCTTGGGATCGGAGAAGAGCCATAACTGGCTTCATTAACTTGGTGAAACACCAAGGGGCGGATGAGAGACCAAAAGGGAGGCAGGTGAACTGCCAAAGCTCTTGAAGCCATATGAACTGGAGGAAAGGGCGGTGACAGGGCGCAATCGGTACCGTAAGGTAGGCATCCCTGAGGTCGAAACGGGAGAACCAGTCTCCCTCGCAAAGAAGGTCTCGGAGTAAGTGTATGCCCTCCATCTTGAAGTGCCTGTACACAATGAATTGGTTTAGCCCTCTCAGATTGATGATGGGGCGAAAATCGTTTGACTTTTTTCGAACCAGAAAGATGTTGCTGACAAATCTGAGGGGGGATGAAGAGGGTTCGATTGCGCCCTTGTCTCTGAGTTTGCAGAGTTCTGCATGTAAGGCGGTGGTGTCCGGCTGGGACATCCGTATGGGAGGGGGCAGTGAGTCCTGTATGGGGTCGGTGATGAAATCCATAAGAAAACCTGAAACAGTCTGAAGGATCCAAGGATCCTGAGTGAGAAGGGACCACTGTGGGAAAAAACAAGTTAAACGGCCTGCAATACGTATTAGAGAATAAGGTAGGTGCATTACCTTGAGCAGATCGACCCCGGAGAGAAGCAGAGCCACGTCCTCTGATTGATCCTCTGTTGGTAAACAGTTGTCTATGATAGGGACGGGCATAACCAGGGTTCCAAGGTTCACTTGGTCGAGGCCTGTAGCCGTTGAAGGCAGACCTGCCGGTAGCTCGGCCTCTGTGGCGACCGGCTCTGCCAGAGAAACGGCTGGTTCGAAACACCCTGCGAAGGGAGGTCTGGGCCTTGTTCAGTGAGGTGAATACAGATACGTGTCTGTTGAGGTCCCGCATGAACTGGTCCCCAAATAGGAGGCCGTTGGCCTCTGGGCCGAGTTCTTTGGAACCCAAATCTGCCAATTTTGCGTCTATTTTATATAGCGCAGCTTTCCTTCTTTCAGTGGACATAGCCACGTTAGCATTCCCCAAAAGACACAGGGCTCTTTGGGCTCATTCACGTACCAAGTGTGGGTCCAAGGTACCTTCAACAATGGCATCATCTGCCAAGATAAAAATCTGGATAATGGGGCCAGCAATATCCAATAATTTGTCCTGGACTGTTTTGAGGCCCTGTTCCAGGCCTTTGCGTGGGTCTTTTCCTGACTTGCTGAGGAAGGTAATGAGGAGTGGATCAAACTCGGGAGTTAGGGCGACCTTATCCGGAATTGTAGGTCGAGGGCATTCAGCCCGTAATTTGTTCCTGATCTCCTTCTCTAGCGGTTTTCTGAGCCACATTCTGCAAAATTGAGCAATATGGCTAGGTGGTGCCCATTCAGCGGACCGGGGGTGTTTGATTATTCTAGGATCAAACAGGGGTTGGCCGTTACCATCCAGCAGGATGTCAGTTAAAGGATCCTTATTTTGTGATGGATTAGTGGGCATGGGGCTAACCACGAATGGCTTGGTGTAGGATTCCTTGACATACCTAGAATTACCCAGGTCTTCTTCGTCCGAGTACCCTGCACAGTACTCGTCTACGACCTGTAGGTCGTGTGCTGTGGAACCCTCTAAGGGATCCAATAATGGAAGGCTTGAGGAGGGAAGTGACAGTCTAGCATTTTTGGCAGGTGCCTTGCCTTTACCGGCGGAGACACTGTTGCCCTTCCAGGGACGCTTGCGCGGAGCCCCGTCATGGTCAGAATCGTGAGACTCTTCTGAGTCGGAAATATTTAATGCAGTAGTTGGCCTTGGAGCAGGTTTAGCCTGTTCGTGGTAAGCCGCAATAGCTTTGGGCATGGATTCCGCTATTGCTGAAAAAAGCCAGGATTTTAATTCAGCAGAGACAGTGTCCTGTTGTTCAGACATTATTAACAAACTTGAAACACAAAAATAATAAACTTAAAATTGTAAGACAGGGGGTCACCCTGTGGGGATGTAGCAGGGGGTCACCCTGACAATAACTGGGGGTCACCCAGGAATAAAAAAGGGGGTCACCCTTATAGTTAAGTTTGGGGGTCACCCAAACAAGCAAATGGGGGTTGCCCAAGATGCAAAGAAAAAAGTGGAGTCACCCACTGCAATGTCACTGAGACACAAATTAATGGAAAGCTAGGTAGCAAACGGAGCCCTTAAGGTACCGCTGTAACCACAAAAAACAGGGGTCACCTGTCATTAGCAAGAGGGTCAACCTTGTGGCAGAAAGTGTTTGGCCTGATGTCGGTGATGGCAGGAAAAAAACACTTTAAAGTTTGTGAACAGAACCTGTGTGAAGTAAAATAGGGGATTTTTAGAATAAAATAAAAAATAAAACAAATAATATGTGTATATATATGATAGAGAATAAAGTACTTACCTTAACTGGCATGCAAAGAAAAGGTGGAAATACACCTTTAAAATTCGAATGAGATCACTTTGTGAGAAACTGACAGGCAGAGAACCGTTAGTGAGGTAAACTGCCGCACAGTGAAAATGGCCGCCGGCTAGTGCAGAGGCGGAGCCTGCGCTTTGATGAAAAAAACGCGGGAAGCAGGTACAGAGAGACCCTGCTGTGTGAGAGCTGACAGGCAATAAACAAAGCCGCGATCAGATCGCGGTCGGCGGAAAGGAAAACGCCGTGGGTGGTGGAGGGAAGCCACGGGCTAATAAGCGGGGAAAATGTAAACAAAGCCGCGGTTAAATCGCGGTCGGCAAGAAGATCGCCGTGGGTGGTGTAAAAAGGGGAATAACCAAGGTCGGCCCCAGGAGAAAGGGGTAAAACAATATATAATTATGGACAGAAATAAATAAATTTAAATAAAAAATTCTTATAAGGTCTGAAATCAGAATTGACTCACCTGGGAGGCAAGCAGCAAAGAAAGAGGAATTGGGAGGAGTTTCACAGTCACTTATTAATGACTAGATGTGTTAGGATTGGTTGTTTCTTTTTTTCAATCTGTTAACTGTTTCTTTGCTGCTGGGAGGAACAGTAAAGGAAGTAAAGCAAATATGAAGCCTCCTGTCTTGCCATAAAATTCAAACATTCCATAAATGCATGTTAAGCAGTTTGAGAGAAATTATTTAGTTTAAGTGGAAATACTTAAACCTTTTCCATACTTTTATCTTCATAATACCACTCCCCAAATTGCCATGTTAATGCAATGTTTATTTAATATGGATCTATGTACACACAAATATATAATAACACACATACATTCTTTTATTACCACTTAGAATAGTGTTAAGCATTTAACATCTCCTAAATCAATTAAAACTATTAAAGTGATACTATAGTCACGAAAACAACCTAAGCTTAACAAAGCAGTTTTTGTGTATAGATCATGCCTCTGCAGTTTCACTGCTCAATTTACTACGGTTTTGGAGTTATAATCATTTTTGTTTCGGTTTATGCAGCCCTAGTCACACCTCCCTTGTCTGTAACGGACACAGCCTGCATGAAAACAAGATTGATTAATTTTCAATCAGATGTAACTTACTTTAAAAAAAGTTTGTTTCTCCTGCTCTGTAAATTTAACTTTAGGTACATGCAGGAAGCAAGCTATTAAAGCAGGGTATAAGAAAATATAAGTGAAACAGAATTTGCAAAAAAGGAAGTATAAGCATTAGAATATTCTTTACAGGAAGGGTTTAGGAAGGCTGTGTGAGTCACATGCAGGGAGGTGTGCTAGGGCTGCATAAACAGTGATTTAACTCCTAAATAACAGAATCGAGCAGTGAGACTGCAGATGCATGATCTATATACCAAAACTACTTCACTGAGCTAAAGTTGTTTTGGTGACTACAGTGTCAGTTTAACACTTCTCCAATGCCAACTGAAAATAATACCTATGTCTACCTGACATTATGTCCCAACAACTACCAGACAGACCCATCTGGGGATCCTTATGCAAAGCACACTTACATCATGACACTGAGACACAGACTTCATTGACAAAGCATTCCCACCTGAATGTAGCGATCAGATGTGTTGCCAGAGGAAAATATTGAAGGGAATACAACTGATGTGCTATAGTTACTATGCCAGTAAGAAAGTGGTATTGGGTTCTCCTGTCACACTGCATGCAGCATTGATGCATGCTGTCTATACCATTGATTCTTTTATCATTTACTGAAAAATCCATTACATTTGCAAGCAATTCTGCTATTCTGTAATACAAGAAAAATAGTCTTGCTTGCAGAAAACAGCCTTATGGCAAGAATAAAATGCCACATTGTTATAGTGTTTTGCCAAACATTTTTACTTATTTATACCTGAAGAGGGAAATGTGAAAAAGGAGGCACTCACTAACATCGCACTGCAGTGACTTTCACACCTAAAATCTACACACGAAGATCACAAACTAAACAAAAGACACCACCCTCATAAATATTGCTTACTTACCGGGTAACCATTTAATGGCTGGAAGTATAGGCATTTATCAGTAATGCACACATGCCCAGGATTACTGACAAGCGGTGTCACCATTTCTGCTTCACATTCCATGTTTGAAGTTTCAGACACACTTTGAAAGCTGCAAGACATGGTTATACAATGTTGCTTTCAACACCCCAGCCAATGTTCCATCACAGTTTTATAAACGTGTAAACATTTACCATGCAGTTCAAATCAGCCAAGCGAGAGAAAGTTGGAGAAAAATAAATAAATAAATAAATGCAACGAAATAAGGAAAGTTAAAAAAAAAAAACAAACAAAAAAAAACACCCAAAAGTAGACAACAGGAGCTGTGCAAATGAAGAAATGCTGAGGCTTTTTTTGAGCAATTAACCAATTGTTCCAAAAGTTCACTTTTTCAATTTAACTCCCACCATTTTCCCGTCACATAATGGCCAATAAGTGGTCATATTTACTTACCTATTCTTATCAAATAATGTTCTGGCTAAACGTGACTGGAGAATTGCAGTTATCTAATATGAAAAAATATATATATTTTTTTAATACACAACAACTTTACTGCTTCTAATACAGCCTAAATATACATATTACACTTCGAGAAGATATGCAAGAGAGCAGAAGGGATTCAGGCGATTTTACAGCTTAGCACCCAATGCTTTAGGCATCAATGACATTTTTAGCTTACCATAGCAGTCTGATCTCCAAGCTTATCTAGGTAAGACGCTCTTTGAAGCTGGAAATTAGATCAAGTTTATAGATTAGTACCAAGGTAGAAGCAACTCGTGTTGAATACAAATTTACAATACCACTTCTTAAAATCATTTTTCCTCCATATTTTTTATTGTTAGTTATTCAACCAGTGGATTAGTCAAACACTGACCAGGGTATCTTAGGCCAAACACAGCTGATCAGGAAAGGAGACCACATTCCCAATGTATTGAGTACAAACCATGTTAAATATTTATGCTTTACTAAATCCTGGTGTTACATTTTACAGTTTTACCTTCAGTAAATTGATTAATATTTAGAAGTCTAAACTCTGCAATTCTTTTTTCAATACACTGCAATTTGGAATTAAAAAGAACGACAAGTTGCATGTCCAACTACAGATTCTCCATTTTATTAAGATTTTTGATGTCACTAAGGGATAAGATAAGTCATATCCTCCCCAATTATGGTTCTAGAAGTTGGGGCTGGTCAACCTATAAGTGACAGTGCCCATAGGCTCTTTACACGATAACCACTACACTGAAAGCCCCTTTTGAAACCGGGGGTAAGTAGGTAAGAAAAATACACATTGATCATACAAATAGGGGGGGGGGGCACTGGAACACTATCAGCATAATATTTTGCAGGGGGTAATAATGAAAAGCATCAGAAAGATAGTCATTGTACAAATCTATACAGCAGCTAGCCTTTAAAGAAAATGCAAAAGTAAACCACTTTAAACCCCAGAAGGACCAAACTTCTGGAATAAAAGGGAATCATGACATGTCACACGTCATGTGTCCTTAAGGGGTTAAAATTCAAACGTTTACTCTAAGTTGATGAACACAGCCCTAATCAGACACCTTAAATACAGCTAGTATGAAAGGTTAAAACAACCTTTGGAAGCCTGTAAGGTGCAGCTCTATGCAACCTCATTGAAGTCCAGAATGGCAGATAGGCTTTTAAAGCAAAATGTAGCCACAAATCTAAATACACAGTGAAATGTATTGCACCAAATAAGTGGATTGCATGTTCATCATAATATTCTGGGATTTTAGAAGTCACCTGTGAAGCACACAACAAGAGATTCTAGTAACAGGGCTTCCAACTAGAAATGGTAGGCTTACAGCATACTTCAACTTCAGAACAAAAAATACACATTGAGTGTCCAAAGTCAAGAGGGGAGTCTTGTATGGGTTGCAATTAACTGGGTCTGTCCACCATAATGTATTTAGGACATCCAAATTCTTGGACCTCTTAGGTGCCTTTAACTCCTCCTTCAAACTCTTAAATCACTCTGTGTCTGTCCTCTCGTGGTTTTCATCTTATCTATCCCAACGCTCATTCATTGTCGCCTTTTCGAATGATACCTCCTCCCTTTGTCCTGTCTCGGTTGAAGTCCCCCAAGGCTCTGTCCTTGGTCCCATTCTATTTTCTCTTTATACTACCTCTCTCGGGAAAAATTATTACCTCATTTGGATTCCACTACCACCTGTATGCCTATGAAACCCAGATATATCTCTCCTCCCTGAACCTCTCCCCTGCCGTGATGTAACGTGTCACCGCTTGTCTTCCCCCCTCCCCGCATCTCTGACTGGATGTCCTCCCGCTTTCTGAAACTAAATCTCTCTAAAACGGAGCTCCTCGTATTCCCTTCTCCTAATACGGATCCTCCTTTTTCGCTCTCCCTTCAAGTTAGTGGTATCAACATCAGTCCAGCCTTGCAAGCACACTGTCTTGGCATCATACTCTATTCTGGCCTCACCTCTGAGCCTCAGATCCAGTAGATTCCAGCTTAAAAACAAAGCCTGCATTCGCCCCTTTCTTACACAAGATGCTACTAAGGAGCTTGTCCGTGCTCTAGTAATTTCCTGCTTGGATTATTGTAACCCTCTCCTAAGTGGTCTTCAAACAAAAACGTATTGCCCCACTACAGTCTATAATTAATGCTGCCGCCAGACTGATTTTCCGTTCTAGTTGGTCCTCTCACCCCTCTGTCAGTCTTTACATTGGATTCAAAGTACTAGCCCATACCTATAAAGCACTGAACAATTCTAGCCCTCATTGTACAAAAATTACTCACGCTTGCAGGACATCTCACGGATGGCTCCCTTCCTATGGAATAGCCTGCCTACCGCCATCAGAATCTCCGCTAGTCTTAAATCGTTTAAGAAGTGCCTTAAAACCCATCTCTTTAGGAAAGCTTATGGCCTCCGAGAGGAACCTCTACCTCACATACCTGTCCCATGCTTTCTCTTAAAAGGCAGCACTCTACTCTCTCCACCAGCTCTGCTTCACTCTCATCTTATTTGATTGCCATTTCCTGCCCTATTGTGTTTTACACGTCACCTCCTTTAGACTAAGCTCATTTAAGCAGGGTCCTCTTTAAACTACTAAACCTGTTAGTTTTCTTGTAATTGTCCTATTTATAGTTAAATCCCCCATATTGTAATATTGTAAAGAGCTACGGAATCTGTTGGTGCTATATAAATGCTATAATAATAATAATAATAATAATAATAATAATAATAATAATAATAATAATGTAGGGATGTAAATTTAAATTACAGGTCATGCTGGCAAATCTCAGTACTGTTGCAAGTGCTTTCACAGAACTCAAAGGAACACTCCACTACCCAAATAGGCAAAAATAATTAACTTTATTTAATATACCCTCAATGAATACATGCATGACATTTTCATGCATGTATTCATTGGTGCTATATCTTAAAAGAGCTTGCCTAGGCTGCACAGCCCATGAATTGCAGCCTTAGCAGGGCCTTCACTTTTTTCTTGAGAAGCCTCAGAATTTGTCTCCACGTGTACACGTAACCCTGGTGTGCAAGTCTGGTCTGAGGTCTTTGTGATATTATGCAGATACACTCAATTAGAGTGTGCCTGCCACTTTTGTTAGCTCAAGGGAGCTAATGGAAGAGGGCATCAAACCTCCCTGACTGTTTCACAGCAATGGGGTGTTCCTAATTAACACCCTCATAGAAAGCTGCACATTTTTAAAAACTGGGGTTAAACTAGGATACTACTAGCTGAAGTTCTTTTGGGGTGTAGAGTGATCCTTTAACTGAAGTATTTGCATCAGTCATGTATATTCCAAAGTACCTTCCACTTGGACAACGACAAGGTTTCTCTTCAACAAGGCTACTCACAAATGAAGCGCAAATGCCTCACACTGACACCCTTCGCTCCCCATATACAGGATTATTCTCGAAAGTGGGAATTCAATGTATATTCAATGTGAATTTCAAACTTAGTTCAATAATAGCCAAACTGAAAATTCTCTAATTCAGTATTGCTTCCAGTTTGGCTACTGGAGTGAGTAACCTTTATGGTGTTAGAGCATGTGCTGGCTGTGTGTAAATGTGTGTGCACATTTTGATTAGCCTGCCCTATCCTGCAGCGAAGGGTGCCATGATCCTATGTGGTACAATCGATGCAGACCACAGTACCTTAGCACTCACTAAGTCAGCACATACTAGAAATCCCGGCAGCTGTGCTCTCATTAGTGAGCGCTGGAATGACTACTGTGGTGTGCATCCTCCAGAACGTCAGACCAAATGTTCCCTGCCGAGAGACAACTCTGCCCCCACTGCAGCCCTGCCAACTGTCCACAGCAGAGCTAAAGGCACAAAAATCTTCCTGACCAGAACTGCATGGCCTGGGCAGTGGGCGATAGGAAATCCCCATCCCTTATGTATAATATCTTAACATTAGTCTGGCGTGTCTCACAACCCACATTATTTTATAATGTTATACCTGATGCAAAGTCTGAACAACATCCTCAAGCTTCCTGGATTCCTCCAGCTGAAAGATAAAACGGTTTTCACCCTAAAAAGTGGTTGAGAAGAAAAATGAAAAATAAAATATTAAGACAGTTTTACTGTAAATTCAAGTTGTCCGTTATATCAGTACACTCATCGATTAATGCAAAGAAGTGCATAGCAATAAATTTATTTAAAGCAGGGACATAACACATTCAAGTAGTAAATTAAATCTCTTTTGAAAAATTACTCATCTAGAAAAATTCTCCAACTTTGCTCTAGTCGCAGGTTGGCTATTTTAGCTTAAAATTTTACAATTAAAAATTTAATTCAACAAAGTTTGGAGCCTCATGAAAAGCCCCATGTGTTATTCTAGCTTCAGCTACATTAATTTAAGACAACATTGTGTGTGTTGGGTGGACATAGTGCCAAACATAAGAATTTAGTGCATAGATGTGTCTTTTCTCTAGCAAAAAATATTGCAATTGATTGGAAAGTAAGGTTGATCCCTTCCTCTTTAAGAAACATCATGTTTTGAAAGTATTACATGGTTATTTACTAAAGTGAGATTTGTTAGAAATTTACAGTAACTTTCTAATTTCATGTTAAAAAATAATATTAAAAAAAAAAAAATCCAAACTGGAAGCTTAATTATTCCGCTTCCAGCAAATAAAAGTACATTCCTGCCATTTGTACCAGATGGTATTAGAGAGACTGATTGGTATAGCATTGCATTTTAACAATGCTCTACTATTACAATGCCTTGATTTGGCTATGGCTATCAGTTTCGATAATCTCAGCCAAGGAGACCTTTGCTGACAGGGAGAAAAAAGTAAATGACAGGTGGAGGGCCGGTCACCTACACAACTCCTAGGGCAATATGGCATTGGGAAAAAAAAACATTTTTATTTCTGACGCAATAACTAAATCAATAGATTTTTTAAATAAGAGCTCTTAAGGTAAGCAGTCAACTACATTTTCAAAATAATTCAGCTTCTTATATTGGTATCAACCATGCCTTTTTGTTTTTATTTTAAACAGATGTCCCCAGAAAGCACATTATATGGAAGTCAACGGATAGAAAATGGAGACGCTTTTTAACAGTTTAATTTTGTCATAGGAAATTCTGATGTTGAAATCTTGAGCTTCACAAGCCAGACTTTTTTTTCTAAATCTTAAAATTTGTGGTTTAAAAAAAAAAAAAAAAAAAGGGGAAGTTATAAGTACATATATTTCCATCATGCTAGTTACAAATATACATCAGGAGATACAAATCAGGTGTAGAGGAAAAAATAAAATGTAAAAAAAAAAAAAAAAAATTGCTTCCTTAATCAAGTTACATTTGAAATGAGTAATTGCAGTAAAGCTGTTAAACTTTATAATTTATTTAAAGTAAACTTCTTTATCAATCGATAGCTTAGAACTAAAACCCTTTATTCACTAAACTCAAAACTGTACTGAATTGAAGCCCATTAAAAATCCAGGCTGAACTAGTTAAGCTGTGTCTAAAGCAGAGTTGGAGAATTTATCAAGATCGGCTATGTTAGCTTAAATTTTTCCATTTGGATTTCAATGCGGTACATAATGAATAAGCGCTACAGAAAGGTGAATTTCACATTCTTTGCTATTCTGTGGAATCTCTTTGGAGAGATTAAAGGTCTACTCCAACCTCTATGACTGCTTATGCTTCTGAAAGTGGTCATAATGGAAGGAATCTCCATGTGCAGTGTTTCAGCTGGATATGCTGCACATACAGAGATATCTCCAGTTTCGACCTGGGGACTAGTTACGTTAATTTTGTACAAAAATTACACCGGTCGTTAGTACATGCTGCATCATAGCAACATATATAATCAGCTTCTAGCCTTACAGGCAGTGCTGGGAACAAGCCTTCAAGGGAAAGCGTATATGTCCTCTCCCTCCACCCAAACCTCATTTGTTCCCACCAAGCAACCCTACAGGTCTCTAACATGCAGCAGGTTTATTTATGTTTATGCCCTCCCTTTGTCCACTTCACATTTCCTCCCTCCCCTCAGAGTGTGTTTACGAGCACGGCCCAATCAAATATTTTCTATAGAGAAACTTTAACTGGACTACTGAAAGGAAAGTTGCCGTACAAGGATTGGCAGGGTGTAGAAATGCTCCAAATTAACCCCTTAAGGACTGGACTGTTTTTGCGATGTTGTACATTTGCGACCAGGAATATTTTTACACTTTTGTGGTGTTTGTGTTTGGCTGTAATTTTCCGCTTTCTCATTTACTGTTCCCATACAAATTATATATTGTTTTTTTCAGGACAAAGGGGGCTTTCTTTACATACCATTATTTATATAATCTCATGTATTTTAATTTAAAAAAAATAAAAAAATATGATGAAAAATTGAAAAAAAATACATGTTTTTGACTTTTACTTGAAAAATCTTTTACTCATCTACAAAAGCGAATGAAAAAAACTGCTAAATAGATTCAAAATTTTGTCCTGAGTTTAAAAATACCCCGTGTTTACATGCTTTTTTGCTTTTTTTGCATGTTATAGGGCTATAGGTACAAGTAGAATATTGCGGTTTCAAAACATAAATTTTTTAAATTTATCAATAGTGACATTGTAACACTATTATCTGTCATAAATCTCTGAATAACACCCCACATGTACATATTTTTTTAAAAGTAGACAACCCAGGGTATTCAATATGGGGTATGTCCAGTCTTTTTTAGTAGCCACTTAGTTGAAAACACTGGCCAAAGTAAGCATTCATATTTGTTTTGTGTGTGAAAAAAGTAAAAAAACTAAATTGAACGTTAATTTTGGCCAGTGTTTGTGACCAAGTGGTTACTAAAAAAGACTGGACATACCCCATTTGCAATACCTTGGGTTGTCTTCTTTTGCAAATGGTATGCCATCATGGGGGTAATTCTCATTCCTGGGCTACCATACGCTCTCAAAGGCAACGTAACCAACCTAGCCATTTTCAATGTAAAAATATTTGACCCATATATTTGACCTTGTAACTTTCAAAATGCTATAAAACCTGTACATGGGGGGTACTGTTTTACTCGGGAGACATCGCTGAACACAAATATTAGTGTTTAAAAACTGGAAAACGTATCACAACAATTATATCATCAGTAAAAGTGCTGTTTGTGTGTGAAAAATGCAAAAAAGTAACTTTCACTGACAATATCATCGCTGTGATATGTTTTACTGTTGTGAATCACTAATATTTGTGTTCAGCGAAGTCTCCCGAGTAAAACAGTACCCCCCATGTACAGGTTTTAGGGTGTCGTAAAACGTTACAGGGTAAAATACAGTGCTAGCAAATTAAATTCTCTGGAATTTGGGCCTGGGTTGGCAGGCAGGTCCCTCAAATTGCAATCAATAAAATTACTGAATTATGTAAAAATATTACATAAATACGCACGTAGAATTTAAATATATATGCATATTTATATATTTGAAGTCTACGTGTATATTTATATAATTATTTATGTAATTTTGTATATGGACGTATGTATATTTCTTATTATTTTTATTTATTTTTATATACATAGATATATATACAAATTCATTCTAAGTGTATTTTGATATAAATATATATATATTAATTTTAAAATACAGTTAGAATAAAATTTCATATAGCTATATAATTTTTTTTAAATTTTTTATTATTATTTAAAAAAAAATTTATTTAATTTAAATTACTTATTATTTATATTTTATAATAATATATATATACAATATATATAGTTATTATATATATTATATATATACGTGTGTAATTTAATTATAAGTGTATTTTATATTAATATAAGTACATATTAATATAAAAATACACTTAGTATGACATATATATATATGATATATAGACATATATTATATAGATATAATATATGTCTATATATCATATATACACATATATAATTATTTTATTTTTTTTAATTAACACTAACTTTATTTTTTTTTTCTGATTTTACACTAGCAGGGAGACTGCCTGTCAGCACAGACAGTCCCCCTGCAGGCAGACACATGGACACCTATTGTGACCATGTGATCGCTGTGTTAAGCGATCACATGGCCACAGGGGTCCTAATCTGCCGTGGGGAGACTGTCTGGGCTGCAGGCAGTCTCCCCACAACCGGAGCCACGCTGATTGCCGCCGGGGGAACGACGGCGATCAGGTAAGTACCCCGAGACCGTTAGGACGGTTCAGGACCGTCATCGGTCGGCAACGCAAAAATGCCGATGACGGTCCTGAACCGTCCTCGGTCCTTAAGGGGTTAATAAAAAATAAGGGTAAGGGGAGCAATACACAAAATGTCCAAAACTAAACTATTAAATAAAATAGGGTTGGAGTAACCCGTTAAACATTTGCTAGATCAGCAGTTCCCAAGCTTACCCCCAAGTGTATTTTTTTTCTAAATGAAAATCAGTAATGCCAGTGCAGGTACACCTGCCAGGTTGGGAACCGCAGGGTGAGAGGGCCTATGGGGTGGACATGTCCCTTCAGGGTCCTGGTCATGCACTACGGAACTTTAACCTTATATGCATGGAGTGCTGGGAGGAAGTTAGAGGCTGTCACTTCCTCCTCCTAGCCCACACAGACACACAAGGAGAGGAGCAAGCATTAACTCTCAAAAGCACCAGCCAGCAGAATCCAATTTTTGGGAAATCCACTTGTTTTCCCAAATTGCATTTCAAGTTTAAGGCCAACTGGTAAAGGCTTTAAATCCCCAGCAGCCCATCTCTTCTGTGCTACTTGGGCTAATAAGGAAGCATTAGCCTGAACAGCAATGGGCGGCGATGATGGGTTGTGTATCAGATGACCACTTTCAGCCTATTACAGCACCCATTGCTGGTATCAATTAGCATTGCTAGAAGGAAATATGTAATCTTTACCTTAACCAAACATCCAGAGGGGCTGGACTATGGGTAGTCAGGGATCCTTAGTGTTAAACAGCTTGAAAACAGTTTAACACTAAATGGTGAGACAGCACCAGAGGACTCCAGGCACTATAACCAATTCTATAAGTAAAATGGTTATATTTCTTTTAGTGTATTTAAATGTGACTTTGGCAAAATTTATTGCTGCGAGAACAAGGTCTAATTTTAACTGGAGCGGGAGAGATAGGGACAAAAAGACAAAGATCATTAATATTGCAAACCATTACTTACACGTTCAATTCGGTAAGGTGCTACTGTATTCTGCTCTTTAATGAGGTAAACCTGATCAATAATAAATAAAAGTTATACACCACAAACATGTTACAGGTAAAACCAATAGATCTAGCTCCTAAGATTTAATTCATGTGTCCGAAAAGGTCAACTTATTTTCACATGTAAAGCTATCTCTTGCACAGTGTTGAAGTAAGCAGAGGATCAGCAAAACTTTACTTGGGTGCAAGCTGTCTTGGAAGTTCTCATGTTACACAATACTACAGTAAATTTCACTTCACACTCCATAGGACAGTGTACTACTGTAAATTCACAGTTCACAGTTTCAGAGCAGTCTCCATTTCATTCCCAAAAGGATGCTCATTTAAGTCTCAGTTCAGTGCAAACAGAGAATTGGAGCAGACTACAGGTAATTTTTTTTATGGGGTAGCAGAGTCCATACTGGATAATCAAATTTTTACATAATCAGAAGCAACAATCAAGCATCCTTAGAAGTGTGAGATAATACATAATCTGTTCTTAGTTTGACAGCACAGTGTGTTTACGTTAGAAATTCTTATCTCCTGCTCTGTTCATTTAACTTTAACACACATGAGACTGTTATAAGGTCTAGCAGGTAATTAATAGTCCATCCATAATAAAACATAGAAAACATGCAATGGACTAAGCAAAATGCTACTATGTTTCAAGTTCATGTCAGACACTAGTCCTGTAAGTTGTGTTGTTCAGAACGCTATAACCCAATCAGTATTGTACAAAAACAGAACAAATAAACTCAAAACCTTCAAATAGCCACCGGAAAACACATTACTGTTAAGAAAAATCTATGTTCAGACAATGTGTTCTAGAGACTGTTGTCGATATTCCTTCTTGGCTACATAACATTAAAATATATTAAAATAGGTGTCGTTTGTTAAGTTTAAATGTGCAGAGAAACTGGATGATCCTACCTGAGTAAATAGCACAGAGAATCGCCTGTGTGAGTGGCTAAGAAAAAGAAGGGGAGGAAAAAAAAAAAAAAAAGAAAGAAAACCGTTACATGTCAACTAAAGAAGTATAGGATGTAAGAAGAAACATGGTAAAATGTTATAAAAAGTATAATGAGACATACCTTGAGAATAATAATTCTGTGTTTCCATCTTCTACTTCATCAATTCTTGTGCAGTCCCGCAGGGCAATCTGTAACATTACAAAACCTAAAGATATATTTTTCTAACATCCAAAAACAATGTGACAAAACCCCAATTTTGCCTTCCCAGGAACCATTCTCTACCTCAATTTGTGAATCCATTTAAACTTTGTTTTTATGTTACCAAAATTGACCGACCTCTAGCCCTGTTTTCATAGAACGGTTTTGGGCATAGGACCATGTGCGCGGCCGGTCAAATAACTGACTTCCAAGGAAATCTCGAACCCCTGAACCCATATGGATGATTTCTGGATATGTTGGTCACCAAGATCGGGGCTATCAAGGGATGTGACGTTTGTGGGGTATTCATGTGTTTTGAAGGTGCATTTAGGGTGATTAGTAAATTGTATGTTTTTTTTCTTGTGTCTGGAGGCAATTGAGTACAATTCCTGACTGAATTATCTCCCAGGGGAGGCATTACCCTGTTTTGTGTGGGAGTGTCATGGGTGTGTTTTCTGTGTCCTGGTACTGCATAAAAGCAGGCCATTGGATTAAACAGATCATCTTACCCCTTTTAGGAACTCTAGGCTCATGTTTGGGGAATTGGGAGCTATATTCCCACTTATAATAACTACGGCATTTGGGACTTGGGAGATTCTTCCAGATGTACTCAGCTGGAGTACAGGGAGCTCTTTCAAGGTGCTGTTTGTTTTTGCTTAGGAGTGTACATTTTCCCTGTATCACAGTATATTAGTGCATGAAAAGTTAGATTGTGTAACCAAAAAGCCATTTTGTAAAAATGGACATGTGACTTTGAATTCTCCAGGTGTAGGCTTGTAGGGGGTTGGGAATTTCTGATTCAGTTTTTTGTAATACAATTACGTACCTTGTAGATAGGTATATTTATATCATCAGGTTCAAAAATAAGTGATTTTGAACATACTTTAAGTGAGCCGCGGATTTTCCTAAAACATGAAAAAAGAAAAAAAGTGAAAATAAAACCCACACAGAAGTTCCCCAAAGTATTTTAAATACATTATTCTATTGTTAATGCACCAATGACATTATTGCATTACCAATATAAAGTCTTCTTGCCTTGTTCTAAAGCAGCTTCACCAGGTACAGGCTGCTCCAATAAGAAGTATATCATTCTGGTTTGTGTGAACAGATGTCATTATTAACTTTTATACAGCAGACGTATTTTTTATAGTATATATGAATTTATTTTCAAATAAAATGTTACACTAACACTTTTTAAAATCAAGGTGCTTAGTGGTGAAGTGGTTAAAAATAAATTAAATTTCCCTTCCAGGCACAACTGATTTACTTGCATTTTTGGGTGTTTGGGGGCTAGCTTGTTACAGTAATCATTCTCACAATTATGAGTTTTGATTGGTAATGACACCTGTACTATTCCCTTCCTTTTTCCCCCCCCATTCAAGATTCGTTTCCACAGGGAAAGTGTTCTGGCACGCCATACTGGTTTATCACTTACCATTACAATATTCTGTAAATGGTTTACCCTTTCACATACATAAAAAAAATATTTTATTTATTTTATAAGAATGTTGTGAAGTTTTACCTTTCGGAATGATCATTTCCTTTGGATATATGACAGGCTAAGTGCTGCTCAAAAAAATATTCTTCTTGGTCCAGAAACAACAAAGAAAATCTATGGAAATACGAAACAAAATAAAAAAAATTTAAATAAAAAAAATAAAAGTAGACATTTAATATTACATGAATTTGAAATACATTGAGAAAATATTTAAAGTGCTTTTTGGGTATTAAATGAACTTTTATCTGCAATCTGGTAATGGGACAGTCGAGCATCATAATTATAGTCCAATGTTGTGGTAGCAGGTTATTGGTGCAAATTTGACACAAACAGGATTTTCCAGATGCTCACACCCTAAACCCTCGCTCGCTCTATTTGCACATGCACAATATGGAGGATCCTGCAGTCGTGTTCCTAAATAGTAATCCAAAAGCAGCATCGGTTATCCAACTTAAACGGGACTATATAGGCACTGTAACTGCTTGATTTCATTGAAGTGGCTGGAGTCCCCAAACACATCCTTCCATTTAATGTTAACAAGAAAAAAAAAAGCCAGTCAGACAGAGCTGCCTGATGCCCGTTATAAATTTGGAACACCAGATGTATATGCACAATCTCTACTGAGTTGGGGCCTTCTCCCTAATCTCTTTCCAAGCAATGTAAAATTTAATATGGCTTAAGTACTATCTTATCAGAGATGTATGATTTCTAACAGTCCATAATATTGTGACCTTAAAGGAACACTGTAGCGTTGGTAAAACAGATACGTATTGCTAACACTACAGTATTCGCATCCCTACTTTTAGTGCACCCTGGCCCACAAAAAATGCTTAAAAGGGACACTATAGTCACCAGAACCACTAGAGCTTAATGTAGTGACTCTGGTTAGTATAGACTGTCCCTGCAGGCTTTTAAATGTAAACACTGCCTTTTCAGAGTAAAGGCAGGGTTTACATTGCTGCCTACCAACTCCTCTAATGGCAGTCAGATAGCCACTAGAAGTGCTTCCTATGACCGTGCTGCAGTGTGCAGTACTGGCGTTCAGCATCTCCATGCAGGTGCTGAATGTTCCCCAAAGAGATGCTTTTCAGAGCTTTTCAGGGACCTAAGCAACCTCACAGGCACTAGAGCGTCAGGCAAAGGTTTTTTGTATTCCCAACACAATAGTGTTCCTTTAATTGATTAAGCTTCCAGTGCAGAGTTTCCAACAGCATTGCCGCTGCATACCTCCAGGATGAGGTCCAATCCTATGCTCCTCAGGCAATGATTATGTATGAAAGAATGTGATATCACTGTGCATATACACTTAACGCCACGGTATGTTAGGGTATGAGAGCAAGGAAGCATAGTCCCAGCCCTCATACCCAGAGGACTTTCAGGAGTGGCTTGAAGCCATGCTTCTAAACCTAAGTACAGAAACAACTGTAGGCATGCTAACTTCTGCCTTTCTTGTCCAAAATAATACAAAAACGTCCGCTTTATTAATGTAAATTTTGTCCAACCCGCACAACACTGGCAGAGTACTGGGTTAGCCTACCTCAAGCAGGTTGGGTGAAATTTACATTAGTAATGCATAGGTGTTAATTTCACATTAGTAATGTGGCCAAGAGGTGGTATTTCAGAATGGTTTTATATTAAACCAAGGCAAGGCAACAAGGGAATGGCACTTGAGGGTGCAGTGGTTTGCTTGCTTAGAATGTCCCTTTAAGTCCTAGATAAATCTATTTTGCAGCCAGGAAACAAATCTGGCATGAAATCTATCTATTGCATTTCTGTTCAAATACACATGAGTATTTTTTTTTTGTCTATACAGAAATAAAATGTAAAAGTAAAAAACTAATAAAAAAAACAAAAAAACAAAAAAACACGTTTTTTTTTCCTGTTCAATGACTTGCATGTGCAAACAGATTATATCAGTTTACAAAGCGATTCATGAGAAACGGTGTTATCCCGTTCGCTACTGCCTATTCCGGGAGTTGTGTTTAAAGTGGACGGGAAAAAATAAAGTTTCAAAATCTTCTATTTTCAACTGAATTTAATAGCATCAACTCAATTTTCAATTTGGAGAATAGCCATGAAAAGATTAATGGAAATCTTTGTTTTTATAATTTACTATAGTAACAGGTATAGTATATGCATATAATTCTTCATACACAGATTATAATCACTATCACAACTTGCATAACCTTAGGTGCAAGGACGTACTGTGATGGAATATCGGTGAAATGTAAATTTAGTAGGCCGAGATTTCCACGAGGCATATGTGTATGTTGTTTCAGTTCGTTAGTTACACGTAACTAAGATACTGTCATCAATGTACTGAGCATGTGCAGGAATGCAGGAACTGAAATCACATTCCTTTCTCCTTTGTTTCGGATGAGCCATGTGGTCTGCCCATATAAGGAAATCCAAATCCTGTCCACCGATTGGTTAAGGGTATGTGCGGGTGGAGCTATTAATGGGAGGAGTTATAGTTCTATAAAAAGCATGTACTCCATGTGTTCGGCCCTCAGACCTGTTATGGAACGTTAGTTCATCTGAGACCAGATCGGTATGTTAATAAAGACCTCTTACTTCCTGAAAACCTGCATCCATCTCTCTGTGTCTGGCTTCTGCAAGTTTACTTGGTTACAGGACTAGACTCCCAACACACAACTGCAGCAATATGCAAAAACAAATTACTCCTACACCCACCCACTCAGTGACAGACATCACATGAAGGAACTATGGTTCCTCTTCTGCTTGTGCAAGCTATACAATTTCGCACCTCCCTTTCAGGATTCCTCACAGCCCACTGTGAAGGTACCAGAACACTTGTGTTGTTCATTTGCAACAGCATCTTCTAACTCCTCCCACAAAACTATGAACAAAACAGTCCATGAACTGAAAGCAGCTGCATTGCTTGAATAATGAAAAAGGCATTAATGCCATGTAGCAAACTACATATCCCATGAACCCCAACCTCAATTAAAAATAATGGAAGCTTTTGAATTGGATGAAGCACTTCCTGGTTACCTGTATGGCCATTGCAGACCTACAATCTCTGGATATTTATAACAAATGCAAGAAATTCCGTCTTATTGAATATACTTTCATTGAATTGGATCTGCAATGCTTAACTCATACGGGACTGCACGTTCTATGCCTGTGAGCATTGCACATAGCCCTGTAAATTACCATGGCTGAGCGATCACATTCAGGCAGGGTAATTGGCTTTAAATCCTAGAGGATTTAAAGCTTGCAGGGGACAAAGACCCCCAAGGTTCTGAAAAGACCCTGGTTGACTCTCCCAGCATCATATTATTATTATTATTATTATTATTAATATAGCACCATCAAATTCCGCAGCGCTTTACATATCAACAGTGATGTGGGGCTGAGCTGTGCCTCTTGCCCAGCACCAATTACAATGTAAACAACAGTGACATCATGCTGGAGCTGAGCAGGAGGGAAGAGATCCTAATCTCATGCTGCACTCATACATTACAGAGCACTCTAATGTATAAACTGGGAAATCCCTCTGCTGATATCAGGGTTGAAACGCCAGTATGGTGACACAGATAAATCACTCAATATATACAAAGAATCCAGAGCACAATTACTTCAGGTAGTGCACACTTTACCAAGATAACCAATTTACAAGAACAATGTTTTGGCTTCACTGTGTGACCTTTATCCAACGGTTAAATAAAGAATTATATATATAAATCACATAACTTACAAAAAAACAAAGCCCTCATATCATAATATTAAAGGTTCACTATAGGGTCAGGAACACAAACATGCATTCCCGACACTATAGTGTTAAAACCACCATCTAGCTCCCCTGGGTCCCTCATGCCTCCATAAATATAGCCAAATTGTAAGCATTCAAGCATGAAGCTGTAGATCTGCATGCAGTTTGCCTCAGAAAAGAAAAACAAAAAAACGCTATCTGCTGACATCATCAGAAGTGGTTGACTGAACCAATCACAATGCTTCCCCATAGGATTGGCTGAGACTGCCAAAGAGGCAGAGGGGCAGAGCCAGCATGATTCAAACACAGCCCTAACCAATCAGCATCTCCTCAGAGAATGAGGAAAGTTCAGTGCCTGCATGCAGAGGGAAGAGATACTGAATGTTTGGATGCATTTTAGGCAGCAATGACCCAGGAAGGATCTATAACAGCCATCTGAGGAGTGGCCAGTGAAGTCATCACTAGGCTGTAAAGTAAACACTGCATTTTCTCTGAAAATACAGTATTTACAGCAAAAAGCCTGAAGGTAATGATTCTACTCACCAGAACAAATTCAATAAGTTGTAGTTGTTCTGGTGACTATAGTGTCCCTTTAAGCCAGGCTGGACCACTGGAAAAATTTTAAAGGGTTACTCCAATCACCTTGACCACTTCAGTGAGTTGAAGTGGTCATGGTGGTAGGAGTATGTATGTGCAGTGTTTCTGCTTTAAACACTGCACATACAGAGTTATTGTCAATTGTGTGCTGGATGCTGAGAGACTTTAAAATCTACCACTTGCAGGCGGGAAGCTAGCTCTACTTACACCCTCCCTCTCCCTGTGGGCACTCTCCATTACTGGCAGGTTTTTTTTTTTTTGTTTTAATTTTTTTAAAAACCCTCCACCTCCCCACTCTCTCCGGCCTGGAGCATGTGAAGGAGCTCCATGACAACCATTTGGTCAGGAGGGAGCATGTGAGAGCAGTGACAGGAACTTTGCCCAGTGCTGACTTTCACGTGAGTTGACTTTCACGTGAGTAAACTCCACCCACCCCAGGTTTTGAGCAGGGGGACCTCCAACATAGTGCCCAATAGGGCATTTTACACAGAAAAAGGTCCCCACGCTCCAAAGGATTAAAGTGACCCTATATTCCCCCCTGGACCAGCAGGGCAATTGTAACCTCGGCTTGACCAGCATAGTTCCCCTACCTGTAAGAATGGGGGAGGGGGGGAAGGGGAGCAATGCACTATTTAGAAAATTAGGCAGACTAGATGGGCCGAATGGTTCTTATCTGCCGTCACATTCTATGTTTCTATGTTACACAAGAAATCTGACACAGAATACCCGCAACAAGCACGCCACATATTATACGCACACACACACTATGAGGGAGGACGTAGGGAGAGACCCGCTAAGTAGAGGCACCAGTATTTCTAATTAAAATTATTTTGTGGGTCAGGAGAACTAACTTGTCATGAGAGACAGGTGGATCACCCATAAAAAAAAAAAAAAAGTGTGTCACACACACACACACACAAAACAAACAAAACATAGCAGAGTTGACGTGGTGGCAAAACGGTTAAATGAAAAGTGTAAAAAAAAAAATATATAAGTTAAATATCCTAAGGGCTCTACTTTCAGTAGAAATTTTGGATTTTGTGACTACTATTAAAGTTGTAATGTCACCATTAAAAATCATGAAAAATAATAACAACAACAACAACTGCAATGAAGGGAGAAAAAGCTAGCTTCCCCTTGTGCTCTGCCTGAAGCAGACAAACTATGCACAGAATTAACATTAGGCAGCTCATGTGTGCTGAGAGTGCAACTAGCCTTTAAGGGGTGAAAATAACTAGAATCAAAATGCCAGACTGGAGTGTCCCACTCATGACAAAAGCCAAGCTTATAAACAAAAAGTATTCAGGAATGCAGCTCAAGACGTTTTTTAAATTTTTCTCTGCATCTTTTAAAACAGAAACATTCCTGTAATTGTTCGATAACAAAACCGTTATAAAAAAAAAAAAGTCCAAAATGATTTCATGACAGTCATTAGAAAATGAATGAGTATCAAAAAAAAAAAAAAAAAATGTAATATAGTTAAAGGCAATAACAAACCGTACTACAATTTAGCAATACCTGGATGTTGTAAACTTATCTATAGATTGGAAGCTAGTATAAATGCCAACAACAATGTTTTTCCTCCTGGCCCCGTTTTACTTTTGAAACAAATACCCCAGGATTTGCAACATTCATGAATGTTTATTACAAGCACATTACAAACTTAAATCTATGTTTTTGTACAGCGTGTTCTTTCTAAAAGGCAATAGTTACACATAGTTAACCCAAAATATTAAACCAATAAAGAAATTTAAAAAAAAAAAAACAAACAAAAAAACAAAAACAAAGAGCTACTGGTTAAGTTATAGCAACACTCTAGGACTCCAGTTGTTGTAGATTACCACCCCTATGTTACTCAGCATCAAATGGAAGATAGATCTAAAAACTGTAGTTCTACTGTTTAGGCAGAATTTAGTCCTAATTTTTAAAATCTACCAAACCATAAATCCACCTATATTATAAGCAGGTTTATTAGAACACCTGAAACCACAGCTCTACAAACAGCACCTATTTCCCTAAACCCGTAAAGAGCAAACAGTGATACAATGTATTCTAAAGCCCTTGCAGGAAGTGGAAGTGTTCTATTTGATTGCAGCCCTTATAGGGTTACAATGAGCACATTCTATGAGTGTTGCACTCTGCTGTCATCAAACCCATGACTGTGTGATAAGGGAGATATGGTGATACAGGGAGAGGCACTCACCTAGCCTTGGAGGACTGCTGCAATGACTGAGCCTTCTTCCAGAAAGCCATGAATAGCCCCAGGCAGTGACAGACCCAGGAAGGATGAGAGAAGAGCCAGCAACTCTGAGCTTGCAGCACACAGCAGCCTCCACTGTAGACAGGGCTCCCAGCTGTCCTATAGCTGGCTGCAGCTGCTTGAGACGCACTATAACGAAAGGACTCCTGTGATTGGCTCGAAGTTACCAGGTGCAGCTGTGTAACCCGGTGGCAATTGGATTGGACGATTTCACGACAGGAAGCTTGTGATTGGCTGTTTCTGACTTCCCGATGTGAAAGCTGGCCTACGATTGGTTGTTGGGAGAGCTGCCTAGAAAGCCTCTCTTGGAATTGCCGTGTTTGTGCCCAGTTATCATCTGCCATAGTGTTACTGGCTCCATTTTTATAAACCCTCACAGTAGTGAGATGCTCACTCAGTCACTCAGAATAGTATTAATCCTGGTGGCAATGTTACTGATAGACCCCAGTAAACAACAAATCCCATGAAAGTTTGCTAGCTGTAAGGCTGGCTGAGCATTATGTGAGTTGTAGTTCAGGAATACCTTGCCCACCCCTGATCTATATTAAATACTGCTAAACATCAAAATCATGCCACACTTGTTCACTGAACAAGGAATTGTAATGCTTTAAATCTGAATGGTAAAGCGTATTCAATTTGTTTATAACTTGGCTATTGTAGCCTCAATTTTGGGATTCACTACTCTTCAGATTTTAGGGAATGACTCACCGGTGTATGTGATAAACTCTTACAGGGCTATTTACTAAAGAGAAGTGTCAAAGTGAGTTTCAGATTTAAAGGGACACTACAGGTACCCATACCAATTCTGAAGTGGTCTGGGTGCCACGCCCACCTCCCCTTTCTTTTAAATCTGCAAGTGAAAACATTTTCTTTCCGCAGCACAGCAATGTTTTCACCGCAGGGTTCAAATGCCTCTAATGGCTGCTACTCAGACAGTAGTCCCTAGAGGCGCTTCTGAGGAAATAGCAGAATAAAACCATCTGAGAGACCAACTTGGCGTTTTGCCATGCGCACTAGCCTCACAATGATTTCCTGTGGGAAAGCACATGATTGGCTATTATCAATATCAATGATTTCGCCAAAGAGGTGGGATGGCAGCGCAGAGACTGATGCTGGGAGGGAGAAAAGGTATGTGAATTACCTTTTTTACTTCCTATGTGATAATTGAATGGCCACTAGGGAATTATAGCATTAGAAATGCACATTTGCTTTCCTAATGCTATAGTGTTTCTTTAACGTCAAAAAAGATGAACTGGAACTCCTCGAAGTTAAAGGCACACTATAGGCACCAAAGCAATTTTAGCTTAGTGAATCAGTTTTGGTATATATATATTATGCCAATGCCGTCTCACTGCTCAATTCACTGCCATTTAGGACTTAATTCACTTTGCTTATAAAGCCCTAAACACATCTCCCTGCATATGACTTGCACAGCCTTCTTAAACACTTCCTGTTAATAGAGATGTAATGTTTAAACGTCCTTTATTGCAGTCTGTTTAATTAATAATGTCTTATTTCCTGCTCTGTTACTAGCCTTCTAGGCCCTACAGGAGCTTCCTGTGTGTAATTAAAGGTCGATTTACATAGCCAGAGCTAAAAACTTCTAAAGCAGGTTAATATCTGATTGAAAATTAAATTAGTTTTTTTCATGCAGGCTAAGACAGTTACAGGCATGGAAGGTGTGGCTAGTGCTACATAAACAGAAACAAGACTGATTTAACTTCTAAATGGCAGAGATTTTAGCAATAGGACTGTAGAGGCATGATCTATACACCAAAATTGCTTCATAGGCATAGGTTCATGGCCGGCCTTAGGGGTGTGCGTGCTGTGCAGCCCAATATTGCGGTGGTGCGGAGCTTACCGTGCTGCGGGGCGGAGCTTATTGTACAACAGAGGCGGGGCTAAAAGTGTCAGGGAACAGCAGCAGGGGAAGCACGAAGGAGTCCCTGATTCCCCAACATCAAGTCTCCAGGAGCTGCACTGTCTTCACTCTTCCATAATGAACAAAGGTAACTATGTGTGATTGTCTGTCTGTGTGTGTGTGGCTGTCTGTCTGTGTGTGTGGCTATCTGTCTGTGTGTTTGACTGTCTGCCTGTGTGTGTGTGTGTATGTGGCTGTCTGTCTGTGTGTATGAGTGTCTGCCTGTGTGTGTCTGTGTGACTGTGTGTGTGTCTGTGTGTATGACTGTCTGCCTGTGTGTGTGCATGCGCATGACTGTCTGCGTGTGTGTGTGTGTGTGCGGTTGTCTGCCTGTGTGTGAGACTGCCTGTGTGTGTCTGTGTGTGTATGACTGTCTGTCTGTGTGTGACTGTATGTGCCTGCCTGTGTGTGTGTGTGTTCAGCTGTCTGCCTGTGTGTGTGTGCGAGAGACTGTGCCTGTGTGTGTGACTGTCTGCCTGTGTGTGTGTGTGAGACTGCCTGTGTGTGTGCGCATGACTGTCTGCCTGCCTGTGTGTGTGAGTGACTGTCTGCCTGTGTGTGTGTGTACGCATGACTGTCTGCCTTTGTGTGTGTGTGACTGTGTGAATCACAGAATCACCAAGCCCCTAAAATGGAACCAGCAGAAGTGAATTCCCAAATTACCTCTTTAACCCACAGGGTTGAAATGCTCACACAAGGCATGCAGGATTTGCAAATTGCTAATGAGAGACTTCTTTCTTCTAAAAGAGAAATGCAAAATAAAGTAACACATTCTTCAAGTGACCCTGCTGTCTGCAATCCTGAAATTTATTTGGGAGATCGCTCTAAATATAGAGAATTTTTGAATTCATGCAAATTATTGTTTACTCTCACCCCTCAGACAGAATAAAGGTCTGTTCAATAATTTCCTACTGAACCTATGTCCTGGGCACATTCATTTCTGGAGAATGAAGATCCTATTTTGGATTATTTAGATAATTTTATTGAGGCAATGTCATTACTATATGAGGACCCTAATAAACAAGTTACTGCTGATCTTACTATTAGATTATTACAACAAAGAAATCGTCCAGTGGAGGATTATATAGCTGAGGTCCAAAAATGGGCTTCAGAAACCCAATAGAATGATATAGCTCTACGTAATCAGTTCCGTTTAGGATTATCTGAAACAGTTAAAGATGAACTATCTAGAACCACTCTTCCCTCAACGCTTGATACATTAATTCAACTCTCTATCATTATAGATAGAAGAATCAGAGAATGAAAAGCTGGAAAGGCTCTCTCTAATTCATTTTGGAAAAAACCCAATCCACCTTTGCTAATGCCTAATAAACCCTTGCAACCCAGTGAACCTATGGAAGTTGGGTTTACTAGGGGACCTTTGTCTATGGAAGAAAAAAGAAGGAGGAAAGACTTCAATCTTTGTATGTACTGTGCCTCTAAAGAACATCTCTTACAAGAATGTCCTCTTCTAAAACACTCTAAGGGAGGTAAGCCTAAAATTAATACCTCAATTCTAAAAACACTACCCTCTTCCTCCTCTCATCAGTTTGCAGTACCTCTAATTTTACAGTGGGACAAAGAAAGAATCAAGACTGAGGCCATAATTGATTCTGGTGCTACGGGGATATTCATAGATTCTTCGTTTGTTGAAGCCAATAAAATTCCTTGTCTGAAAAAAGTATCTTTTGTCTCCATCAGAGTTATTGATGGATCTTTAATCCCCTCTGGTCCCATAAAAAAATGAAACTATTCCTGTTTTGACCACTATCAATAATAACCATTCAGAATTTCTTGTTTTTGATATTATAAAATCTCCCCTTTTTCCAATCATCTTAGGAATCAACTGGTTACAAATTCATAATCCCTTCATTCGTTGGGCTCCATTTTCTCTCACTTTTGACTCAGAGTATTGTAAGGACAATTGTCTCCCTCAAATTCCTATATTTCAATTAAGTCACGAAACTCTAATACCAGAACCATATTCGGATTTTTCTGATGTATTTGGTAACAAAAAAGTTGATACTCTTTCCAGAATTTCTGTTAATCCTTCTCCAAAAGAGAAAACTTTCTCAACGTTATCAAATAATAAAATAATTGGACTTACAACTACTATATTGGATGAACTGAAACAATCATCTCTCAAAGATCTTGAACTACCTTCTACTCCTAAATTGTTAAAAAAGATGGAATCTTTTATTTCAAAAATAGAATTTATATTCCTCCATAACTCCGACATAACCTTTTAAAATTAATTCATGATTCTCCCCTTGCTGGACATCCCCGGATAAAAAAGACAATTGAACTCTCTACTAGACAATATTGGTGGCCTCGTCAAGACAAAACCATTGAAACTTATGTAAAGTATTGTCAAGTTTGTCAAAGGTCCAAAGCAGAACGTCACCTTCCTTATGGTTTATTGACAGGATTACCAGTACCTGGGAGACCTTGGCAATCTATGTCCATGGATTTTATGGTGGAACTCCATCCTTCTCAGAAATACACCACCAACCTGGTTGTAGTAGACCGTTTCACAAAAAATGTCACATTTCATTCCTTTGAAAAAGTTACCCTCATCCTCTGAACTTTCCAAGATTTTTATTGAAAATATAATCAAATTACATGGATTCCCTGAAGAAATAATCTCAGACAGAGGTTCTCAATTTACTTTACGTTTTTGGAAGGAAATGTGTTCACTTCAAATCCAACGTATACTTTCTTCAGCATACCATCCGCAAATAAATGGCCAAACAGAACGAGTCAATCAATGTTTGGAACAATACCTTCGTTGTTACTGTACGTATTTACAAGATGATTGGAGTAATTGGTTACCCATGGCTGAATTTGCCTATAATAATTCCATACATTCAAGCAGCAAAATGACTCCATTCTTTTCAAATTATGGATTCCATCCCTCCTTGTTTCCTGATAATCCCAAGGCAACTTCGAATCCAATGGTTTCTATTCCAAACATGGAAATGTCCTCATTGTTTAATCAATTAAAGAAAAACCTTGAAAGTTCTATGTCCTTATATAAATGGAATTATGATGTTAAAAGGAGAGCTCCTCCTAAATATAAAATTGGTGATACTGTTTGGTCATCATCAAAAAATATTTCTACTAACCGTCCTTCTCAGGCCCGGACTGGCCATCGGGCACACCGGGCAAATGCCCGGTGGGCCGCGGTGGCCGTGGGGCCGAGGCCGGCAGGGAGGTCACAGGATCTCTCCTGCCGGTCTTTGCAGGGCCGGCACTATCCGAGCGCCAGCCCTGCAGTAGTCTACAGCGGGCCGGTGGGGAGATCAGAGATCTCCCTCACCGGCCCACATAGAGAATACTGCGGCCGCCGGGGGAGAGAGGGAGGGAGCCAGCCTGCCAGGAGAGGAACCCCGGCAGAGCTTTAACTTACAGCTCCGCCGGGTT